GAGACTGTGAAAGACTCTGGGGACTTTTGAAGTTGGGCTAAATCACTTTGCATTACTTTGTGGTTGCAAATCTATGCGGTCCAGGCAGAGAGATGCAGTGGTTTGAAGGAGCATGGCTCCCGTAGGCTCGGTGTTCAAATGTTTGGTCCCCAGTTGGTAAAACTGTTTGAGAAGGATTAGGAGGTGTGGCCTTGTTGGAGGAGGTGTGTTATTACATTATTACAAGTGGGCTCTGAGCTTTCAAAAACGTAGGCATGTCCTCTCTCTCTCTCTTTCTCTTCCTCCCTCTCCCTCCCCCTCCCTCTCTGTTGCTCTCTCTCACTCTCTTGCTCTCTTTCTGCCTGTGGATCTGAATGTAAGCTCTCAACTACTGCTCCAGCGCCCTGCCTGCCTGCCTGCCTCCTGCCACGCTCCCCACCATGATGATCATGGGCCCATCCTCTGAAACTATAAGCAAGTCCCCAATTAGATGCATTCTTTTTTATAAGCTGCCTGGGTTCTGGAGTCTCTTCACAGCACTGGAACAGTGACTAAGAAGTGACAGTATTGTTAAAAGTACTATTATTTGTTTCTGATGACTACAAATTGAAAACATGGATCAAGAGGTAACTGGGTAAACCCACCCAGCTGTTTTTTCAAAGATAGTGCCCAAGAGAGTTGCCCAAGAGAGACCAGAAGCTCAGCTGCGGGTGTCGGGTGTCGTTCTGAGCCTGTGCTGGATACAATGTAGCCAAACACCATCCTGTTTCCCTCTCTAATGGGTGTCACTGTGCACAGGTGAGGCCTTTAAGAGGTATTTAGTGTCCCGAGGAAGCCAGTCCCAGGAATGGACTTTCCCTCTCTTCAGCCTGTGTTGGTTGTCCAGCGACTGGATTGGGTTTCAGGAGCTAGGTTTGTTCCCACAGCAAAACAAGTCCAGTCTCGTCCCGCCCCTCTTGTTCTCCCTCCCTTTAGCTCCCCACTCCTCCCTTCCTCCCTCTCTTCTTCCCTCCCTCTCCCCCTCCCCACTCCTCCCTCCTGCCCACCCTCCTCTCCCCACCGCTGTCTGTAGTGGCCGCACTGTGACCGCACTGCAGCAACAGATGGCTCCAAAACTATAAGCTCACCAGACCTCTTTGCTTTAGAAAACTCCCGGGCTTGACTACTTTGTTATAACCATTGGAAGCAAAAACACCACAGTAAAAGAAAACCATTCAACCACATTCTAATTTAGAAAAATAGGTAAGGTTATTTTATTGGATATTCAAATCATTGTTTCAACATTATTAAATTTAAAAAAACCTCGATTTTATTTAGTAAGATACTTAATACCCTTTCTTCTTCCTGGTCTGGCTTTGAAAGCTAAGCACGTTTTAAACTTACTACAGATCTGGGCTTGAACACGGGCATCTCAGTATCCAGAGCCAGCACAACGGTGGACACGAAGACATGGCTGTACACAGGACACACGGACAGAGCCAGCACAAGTATGGGTGCATAGATGCATAGAGACACAGGACACACGGACAGAGCCAGCACAAGTATGGGTGCATAGATGCATAGAGACACAGGACACACGGACAGAGCCAGCACAAGTATGGGTGCGTAGATGCATAGAGACACAGGACACACGGACAGCCACCTGCGCTGCTCCATCCTGCCCCAGTCTCAGCATAGGGCAGGGACTTCCGGGAACTTGTGAGTCCTGGTGGTCCTCAGGCTGGGCATTTCCTGTGACCCTGAGACATGTCTTCCCTGAAGGCAGTCAGCTTTTCGTCCTCATTCCTTAGAGTGTGATAAGACATTCTAACCAAAAGCAACTTAGGGCAGGAAAGGGTTTGGCTTACACCTCCCAGTCACAGACCATCTGTTTCAGTTACTTTCCTATTTCCTGGATAAAAACACCATGACAGAGAGAGAGAGAGAGACAGAGACAGAGACAGAGACAGAGACAGAGACAGAGCAGCTGAGCAGAGGGCATCCATTTGGCTGGCCTTTCCAGGAATGGGTACCACCTTCCCCATTCCCAGCAATACACCTCCTCCAACAAGGCCACACCCTCTAATCCTTCCCAGACAATTCCACCAACCTGGGACCAAGTATTCAAACAGATAATGGGAGCCATTACCGTTTAGATCATCACACCATCTTTGAGGGAAGTCAGAACAAGAACTCAAAGCAGGAACCACGAAGAAGGCTGCTTACTAACTAGTGCGCAGAAGAAGGCTGCTTACTGGTTAGTTCCTGGAAGAAGGCTGCTTACTGGCTAATGCCCAGCTCTCTCATTGGCTCAATCTCCTTCCTTGTATGTCTTAGACCCACTTGCCTAGGGTGACACCACCCACAGTGGGCTGGGCCATCCCTCATCAACCATCAGTCCGGAAAATGCCCCACAGGCTTGCCCACATGCCAGTGTGATGGAAGCAATTCTTCAGTTGAGCTTTCCTCTTCCCGGGTGATTCCAGTTGACAATACAAACTACCCAGGGCAGAGTCACTCCTCCCCACATAACTTATAAGCAAACTGAAGCAGGAAGGGTGGGCCCTGGGCTGTGACTCACGAACCTGTCCTGGACTCTGCACCCCACCTGCCTCTCTCACTCCTCTGCTGCTACAGAGATTCACCTCAAGTCCTGACTGGAGTGGGGCAGGGTCCCTGGCCACTATCTGTCCCTCATCCCTAGAACTACTGGCACTACCCAGGGCTAGCATGTCCCCCTGTCTTGTGCGTGTGTCTGGGCCATTTGCAGGATGACTCAGCCCCACCCAGCACAAACACACTCCACACTCGTGCCCTCCCCAGGTCCTGGCCATAATCATAAAATGGTGTCACTGTGGAAGAGATGCTTTAAAAAAAGCCAAAGGATCTAAAGACCAATGGTCTGTCCTCAAGTGACCGCACCGAGGAGAAAGCACTGTGACCTTGATAAACATGACTACAGAAACTCAAAAACAAAAACAAAAAACCCTGAATAATCGAAGTCAATTTATATGGTGAGAGAAGTAGGATCGACTCTTACTCATTCTTCAAAACACTATCTGGACATGCCCTGCCGAAGGAAATCCTCCTCAAGACCCTTATGTTATGTCACTATAGTGACGACACTCCTCACTTTAAACTGACATTTGTTCCCTTCCTAGACCTGGATAATTTAAGGACAGGGAGGCCATGGTGTCTGTTGCAACAGGATCCAAAGCTGCTTTGTAAGCTGAGCCCTTGGTCCCATCTGGCACTGGTGACCTCAGAAATTGAGGAGACAACGGTGGTCTGGGGCATACCTCCCAGGACTCCACTTCTGGCCTGTGGGTATTTGATGGTTACCTGGCCACAGCAGGAGAAATATACCAGCTGAGTTCAAATACAAAGCTGATTTCCTTGTGCTGGTGGTGGGCTTTGTGAGGAGATTCGGGTTTCCCATCTGTCCCCACCTGCATGTGACTGTGCTCCCCCATGTCAGCAGTGAGTGCTCTGCATACAGTGCACCACTGAGGAGAGCGAGGCTTGAGGACCAGGCGAGCCTCCAAGCGAGTGGGAAACAGCATTCTTCGCTCCTGGCGTAGAGACATGGATGACCTGGCTAGCCAGTTCCATGCCTGTCAGGGGATCAGCTAGATAGGATGAACTTCCAGGGAGGGGAGCTCAGTAGAGGCACGGGTGTTGGGGAGCATGCCGCTGGGCTCCAAGGTCACTGCTGCCCCTGGCAGGCTAGGAGAGAAACCCAAGCACCACCATGACTTTATGGAGTTCAAGGTCAGGGTTTGACTCTGGCCAGCAAGCTGAAGTTAACAAGCCCTTCCAGGTTTCTGCTGCCGTATTTCATGGACCACACTACAAGGAACATATCCTGAAACGGGAGAAGGGTAGCTCAGTGGCACCATGAAGCTGAAACTGGAATTCTGAGCCACAGAAGATGGTGGGAGGCCTTCACATTGGATGCTATCTGTACACCTGGAACATGGGGATATGTGGAACCCAAGGCCTCTGCACGTGTTAAGAAAGAGCTCCGCCATCATTGTCTACAGGAATAGAGCATGTCTACAGCCTCCCTCTCTCCATTTGGAAAGAAGGAAATGGAGGCCATCCTAGGTCCTAAAGACAGAGGGATGGGCTTACCACATGGACATGCATTTCTCCCCAAAGTAATGCCAAAGCTGCAGCAGTGCATCTGGAACCTTCTTCCCCACGGCGTCACTCAAACTGTGGTGACCCTCACACTGCCCGTTTCTCAAATGAGAACAGGGAGGTGCCCAAGGCTGCAGCCACATTCTCACAGCAGTTACACAGGTGGATCTAAGAGGGGTCACCATCCCACAATCCTCCAGGGCTTCCCACACCCCTGGCCCATCACAGGAGTTCCTGACTGGGGCAGTCCTTCCACACCAGGTGAAACTGGAGACATTCTGGTTGTCGCTATGGGGAAAGGGAGTTCTGCTGATACTCAGTGGGTAGGAGGCTGGGATCTGAAGTGTGAGCACCCGCCCTGCCCTGTAAGAGAAAAAGTGATCAGGCCCAAAGGGTATATGAGCATCAAGGCTGTGAGACCCTGGGGTAACCTGACTCAGAACACACACATGCACACACACATATGCGTATGTATGCATGCATTTGCACAGTGTACACAGGCACACACCCACTCTGGACGGCACCTGAACCTTCAGTCCAGTGTTCCATGAAACACTAAAAGCCATGTGGGCTGGAGAGACAGCTGAGTGAATGAAGGACTTGCTGCACAAGGGTGAGTGCCGTTTGGGTAACTGACATGTGAGCCAGGCAGGTGTGGTGGCCACCTGCAACCCCCACCCTTAGGAGACAGAGATGGGAATCCTCAGCAACCTGGATAGCCGTACTAGCCAAAGCGGTGCCAGCTGGGTTCTTACGAGTGACAAAGGACACCTGATGTCAACTTCAGGCTCCCCAAGTGCATGCACACACAGTGAACACGCAGGCACACCAAACACATGTGCAGAAGAAAGTAAGGATCCCCTGGAAAGAAACAAGCCCCTCCCACAAACACACCCAGACACCATTAACGTTGTATTTATTGTTCTTTAAGCCGTTCAGCAAAACATATACACGTATATACAGTATGCGTGAATACGGAAGACTCAACTTTACATATTTTTTTAAAAAAAGAAAGAAAAATACCACTCAGTTTCATGAGCTATTGTCACTGTCTTCCAACCAAGCATTTCAGAAATGGTTTTCTTTAAGAGTCAAAAAAGCTTACAGGCTCGCGCACTGCACCGCAGGGTTAAGGGTTCATATTTTACATGTGCAATAGCGATTTTCTTCTCTCTACTGGAGTTGGCTGCATACTGATTACACTGTTCCCGGGCTCTCGCGCTTCGGGCGTGGTTTCTCTTCACTTTTACTCTTCCCACTGAACCAAATTTAATGACATGACATCCTTTTGCTTAAGGCTATCTTAAAAAGCTGTTTCACCCTGGGGCGGTGGGGAGTGAGAACATGATAACATTGGACACTTGGTGTGGGGGGGGGCGGGGGATGTTGGAAGTGGCCTGAGCCACACGCTGGTGGCTGTATGTGGACTTGCTGATGGATTCTAGGACACTCTCGTTCCCCAGCCTTAAGCAGTGAAGGAGAAGTCATTCTTGTGTGGGACATGAAGGGGCTGGCTCTCTCAGACATCTAGACATCGCAAACTCTGAGGGTGAGCGTAGAGTCTGGACCAAAGCCTGGAGGACGCTCCTGTGACCCTTGGAATGGGAAAGCCATCCCCATCCCAGCATCCAGCACGCAACCCAGAAGGGAACGGGGATGGGGTGGGGGGCCCTTCCTGCTCACCAGCCCCTGTCACCTGTTTCTGCCTGCCCTCAGAACCCCATCACATTGCCCAGGCAACAAGTGCAGACCCTGGGGGTTCAGACCTCAGCCAAGGGGGGGCGATACGAGGTAGAGAGCCAGCTTTTGGCAAGTGGCTCCCACGGTTGAAAGTCCCCTGACACGAACAATACGGGTGTCTGGAGGGCCCCAAGCCTTCGGGCCTCTTGCTAAGAAGAGGAAGGGGGTCTGTCAAGTTGGGGTAGGGGCTCAGAAAGGGGCAATTGGGAAGACATGCTGACAATAAAAACTGAGCTGAAACAGGGTTGGCTCTGGCTTGCCCCTCCCAGGAACAGACAGCCCCACAGCAGTGGGTCACATAAGTCGGTAGGTTGTAGACCACACCCATGGTGTTGTCTAGCCAGCACTGAAATCTCTGCTCCTCTCTGCTTGGGGGTGGGGGTGGGGAGGGCCTCTCCCAGGGGACATATTGAACAGGGCTCTGCTTTTAAATCAAAATGAAATGAAATAAAAATGCCAGGAGATATCCCATGAAGGGAACACGAGGCCCAGCAACGGACATCATGAAGACGTTCATTTTATTCTCCTTCTCTCCTAACCCTGTGAGGGAACTGCAGGATCCAAGAGACTGTCTCAGCCTGAGTCTGGTTACCTTATCCCTCCTCCCAGGATGGAGTCCCTTAGAGTAGGCCAGGAAGAAGTGGGAGAGCTGAGGTACCCTGGCTACCACTTGGGAGAGCAGGGCCAAGAAGTCACTAGGACAGCTGACTACACCTCCCCTGTCCCCTTTGAGGGTCACAAGTCCACCCTGCTCAGCACAGAGAAAGGCAGGGTGTGCAATGGTGAAGTCAGTAAAGGAGAAGGGAGTTCTTGGCTCTGGCAGGCATCCTCCAAGTGGCTGGACACAGCATCCCAGCATCCAGCATGCAACCCAGTTGGGACGAGATGGACAGTTCCCAGTGGTAGGAACGGAAGCTAGCTGAAGGCTAAGGGCCAGTGAGGAAAATACCTCTCCAAGTTCTCAGGGAACAGAGAAAACCCAGTCCCTGACTGTTCCTCTAGCTGCCCGTTGTCTTGTCTCCTAACTGGTGACAATGAGAGTAGCTAACGCTGCGATGACCCTGCAGCTCCCACCAGGGAATATTCCAGAACACTGCTCTCCAAGACCTCCATCTTGGTAAGTGATGAACGAAGCAAATGGGAAAGAGAAAGGGGAGGGGGAGAAGATCAAAGAGAATAAGAAAGAAAAGGGGGTGACAGGTGCACCCCGCCTGGGCTTAAACAAGGCAAGGGTCTTCTAGAACACTCTCTGAGTACAGAAAACAGGGGGGTTCTCTAGCAGGAAAACGGCTTGAGCCAGCGTTTACTGTTGGCTGAGGACTGACGCTGGTGTCGCAATGTGGCACACAGCTTCTTTAAAATAATTATTTTGAGGTTCTTTTTTTAATCACCTTTCCCCAGTCCCTTGCAATGAACCCTTTCCGTTCCGAGTGCCACTAAGCAGGTACCAACCTAGACAAAAATATTAGTCTGCTCAACCACAAAGGCCCTCATGGTAGGTAGGGCAGGGGCTCCCATGGGCTCAAGTCAGGGCGGCCACAAATGTCCCAAATCGGTTGGAGATGTCGGAGTGCAGAGACCGCCAGGTGGGTACAGAGGCGCGGGCCTTGGGGTCACCATCTGTGCAGTGGACAGTCAGGCACTGCAGGTGGCTGCCGGGCTGGGTGGCTGAGGCCTTGTTGGTGGGGAGGTCATGGGCTGTGGAGAAAGAAGACACAGGTTAGTGGCTGGTGGGAAACCTTGCAGGGTGATGGTGGGGGGGTTAATGGGAGGGTGGGAGACCCTGCAGGGTGATGGGGGGGGGAGTGATGGGAGGGCGGGAGACCCTGCAGGGTGATGAGGGGGGAGTGATGGGAGGGCGGGAGACCCTGCAGGGTGATGAGGGGGGAGTGATGGGAGGGCGGGAGACCCTGCAGGGTGATGAGGGGGGAGTGATGGGAGGGCGGGAGACCCTGCAGGGTGGCAGCAGAGAGGTGATGGCGGTAGCATCTGGCGCTCTTTCATGGCTGGAGATGGTCTCAGAGGCTTGGTTATGAGGACTACATAAGAAAAGCCCAGCACACCATACCCACACCCCCTGTAGGTCTGCTGCTCCCCGAGAAGCAGGAGATAGGATGAAATGACATCAGTCAGTGTGTGCAAAGACCGTCACACACGGGAGAGCTGAAGGCACATCCGGCGGTGCACAGGACTTCCATACATCCTAAAAGACTGGGGGAGACTGCCGAGTCCTCTGGATAGACACCTGCTGTGAGCCTGCTCTACACTCAGAACTTCCTTAAATAGACAAACTTCATAGCACACCCTAGAGCTAAGGGTGGTCATCCCACTTTACAGCTAAGAAAACTGAGGTCTAGAAAGGGGAATGGCCTGCCTCAGGGGACATAGAGAATTCTATTGGCAGGATGGAGAAGGAGCCAGTAGGAGCCAGCGTGACCCCACTCATGGCAGGCAAAGGTCAGGGTGTTCTATAGTCACATCCCAATAACTTTCTCCTATCCAGAGTCTTCTTCTGCCCTTCTTAGGCCACAGGGAGGTGGCTTGGGGTGGGCTGGCAAGGGCGAGCCTATGGCACCTATTACATCCTTTACCCTCCCAGCCCTGCACTTTAAAGACAGACATCTGTAGCCCAGAGAGGCACAGAAACCTGCCTGGAGACATACAGGAAACCTAACTGAGACCCCGCAAAAGAACCACAAAGGAACCCGAGTCCTGTCCTCTGAAAACGGAACGACCCATATGCACCAGTTACCAAGGCTATTAACCATATTCACGTGTTTCTTTAAACTGTAAAGTGCCATGAAGAGCTCAAGGTAGAAGACAGAGTTGAGCTCCCAGACCGTATCAACCATCTCTGTGGAAAGGCCAGTGGGTGGGTGGTCTATGCTTCCGCCACACCTTCCCAGGAAGCCACCTCAACCCCCAACTCACACAGCTGATTACACAGAACCAGAGCTACCACACCTCACAGTCGTCTCTGTGGCAGATATGCCCAAAGGAAAAGGCACTGAACAACCACTAACATGTTGGAAGGAGTTGAGACAAGGTACATGTGCCCTCCTCCTCTGCTTGAGGTAGAGAGGGGACAGATCAGTTTTCAGAGCACACTGCAGAGAGCAAACCTGGGCCCCGCCCTCCTATGTTTGAATGATGACTTCCCGATTCTCCCTTTTCAGAGGGTCGGGCATCCTACCTGAGGCTACACCAACAGGAAGGCTCAGCAGAAAGTGAGGTTTGAGTACGGGCGAATGGTGAATTTGGTAGACAAGCAGAAAGATGAAACTGGGGAGGGGGCACTAAGGAGGCACGCCCAGATAGGGGATCCATGACCCCCATCATTACAGCAGAAGTTGCCCACCCTCCCCACCCAGTACCTAGCATTAAGAAGCATCCTCGGCCAGAGCCTGGCCCTAACAGAGTGCTAAGCCCCGCCCCCTGGGCAAGGCAAGGCTCTGTGACTTATGGCTCCACTCTATGACTTAGGGCTCCACTCCAGGGCTTCGGGACCTGCAGGGTGGGGAGAGCAACCTGCCTTGGCTTCTGCCCTCACCCACTCCATCAACAAGCACTTATCTGGGACTATTATATCCTGGCGAGGTGGCCTGTGGATCCTTCTGAGTGACACCAGGCAGCACCACTCTGTGACCAATCAGGGTAGCTCAGGAGTTACAGTCCCACTGCCGAGTGACACAGCTCTTCTGAGTCTCTCTTGGGGCCGTGCAATGGCCTGGTATACAGAGGCCCCCAGTAGGGCTGCCAGGCATGACCCTGGAGAGGTCAGAAGGAGAGACACCCAGAAACCTGTGAAGACCCTCATCTCTTACATCTTGGGCAGGTGGTCTCCTTCCTATGCACCGCAGGGAGTCTTCGCTCCTCTTGTAAAGGAAACTAAGATTTCAAGCTCAGATCAGCTTGGTTTTCACCAGTGGACCCCACCCCAGTGCACCTCAGGAGGACAGAGACAGAGACCCGGCTCCCTGAGCACAGGCAGGCCGCAGCCTGTAGCAATGCAGTCCTTGCTCTGTGGGAGCCCACACATGCCTCGCTCGCAGCAGAATCCCCGCTTCCTGCCCCGTGTCACATTATTCCGGGGTGCAATATCTCACGAGGGGCGGGCCGTCCTCGCAAGAGACTCATGCAGCCATGCTTGCCTCCCTTACACGCAGAGAGAGACAGAGGCGTGTCTCAAAGCAGAGAGGAGCCAGCTGGGGCTCAGGGCAGAAGAGACCCAGGTCCAGGTCCGACTGCAGGCCCCAGGAAGGGAACACGAGAGGGGTATTTCTTAAGTGTGTACGACTATCGGGCCTCAGGTAAATCCATTCCCTGGCCGCCTTCTGCTTCTGGCCAGTCATTCTCTGCTCCCATTCCCAGGCTGACACTTCCTAAGCTATATCTGGATCTCAGAGTCAGGCAGTTGCTGTACCTGGGGTAGAGTCCAGTATTGTCTAATTCCATCCCCCCAACCCCACGAGTCAACAAAACACTGCCCTTCCTCCATTTTGGCAGAAGCACCTGTGACCCAGAGAGGGTGAGCTAGGGGCTAGCCTGATACCACACATGATGGGTAGAGGATTCCCCAGCCTCAGCAGGACCTCACGAGACCATCAACCCCAGCCTAGTGTCCACACGCAGTCCCTTCAGGAGAGAACGTTTTTCTTCAGCTCTTGGCTGTGCAAGCACGCTTGTGTCATAACCTGTAGTCATTGTAGTATGGGGAACCCATCATGCCCTAGGATGGTGGCCCCTCAGGCTGTCAACTCGCAGATGACAAATCTATCTCACAGAAGCTGCAAGTCCCAGCCTGTCCCAGCCGAGAAGACGCTGAGTCCCCAAGCCTCAGGTGGTGAGCATACCTAGCCTCCGTGTCAGCAATGCAGAGATAACACTGTCCTCTCACCAAGCCCCTGGGGCTGAGGAACACCTGGAATCTCTGGGTACCCAGTGCTGACAGATGCCACAGGTTGGCTCTCTCTTCCTAGCCTGCAGTTCCTGATAGGTGAGCGAACCCCCACACCTAGGCTGCTGGCCTGTCTGTAGTACCTGCTCCTCCATTGTTATTGGAAGTGCCATCCTGGGTGAGTCAGGCTCACAGCAGCTAAGGAACTGTGGAGCAGCAGGGAAGACCTCGTGCACATAGGTAAGGGTCGGTGCCCAGAGCGGAGGGGTACCATCGTCTATTAAACACACCCTGCATGGACCTCACTGGCAGTGGCACCCCAGAAGTGAGGGCCCATAGCTGACTGGCCAAGAAAGGCCAGGAGAGTTTGAACTTCACCTAGGAGAGAAGACAGATTCCCCACATCCATAGCTGGGGTCAAAGCTGGCTCTAGGTGGCCCCTGCAAGCCCTCTCAAGGTCCTTCCTCTCAAGGCTAATCAATCCTCGATGACCACAGACCCTGCACCAGGTTATCGTTGCTGACGGCTTTGCCTCATGGTATTGAGGTCAATGCCAGTCCGACACACTCACTGCAGCCACAAAGACCCACGTGGGCTTCTGTCTGCCGGGCTTCAGGCCACAGCAGGACAGCCAGCGAGACATCAGCCGCAGAAGTGCAAGAGGAAGGCGTGCGGTGAGGCAAGGAGGTGAATGCCAATGTCTCCTTGCTTCTCCTGGGGGCCCAACAGCAATGGCCGACCGTGCTTGCACACTGGGGTATCTGCGTGTGTCTCACCCCTCCGGCTTTCAGGCCCTGGAGTCTAGGAGATGGGGAGCAGCCACGCAAAGGGACCAGAGAAACCAGGGATGTGAAGGGCCTGACTTGCCTTGACTGGCTACTGGAGCAAACTGGCTGCTGGCTGCCTGTCTTCTTCCCCCCTTCCTCCCTCCCTCCTCCTCCCTTCTTTCCTCTTCCTTCCTCCCCCTTCTCTCATCTCCCCTTTGCTTCCTGGGATTTCTCCTCTATCCTTCCATTCTTCTTCTAGGTCATCATAGAAATCCTGGCTGCACCCTACTCTGTACTGAAATCCTAGCCAGGATCCAACACGGGGGCCGAGCTCAGGCACTAGCGACCTTGTTGGACAGCCATGCTCCTGCCTCAGTGGCTCTCCAGACCCACTCTACCTTGAGTCCTAGGTTAGACGTTCTGACATGGCCTTCTGTTTACTGCCCACCAGAGGGACGGCCAAGGTGGGGGACATGGCTAGGGTTCAGCTGGTGCCTAGATTGAGGGTAGACACAGGGGTGGCGGGTGAACCTACCTCTGGGCAGGTCCACAAGATATCCAAGCCTCCAAAAGGCCCAGGGCCTGCACTTGCTACTTAGTAGCTCGGGATTTGGGGGCGCCAGATCTAGAACAGCAGTGCTTTCCTCTCTGTGGGGGCTCCCTACGGCCAGCGTGAGGTGGAGCGGGTATTTTTAACTCATGGCTTATGTAAGAGGGAGTGTGGGCCTGAACAACAACTAATGCCGCCCCCCACATTCACCTCGCCCAATTCCCACAGAGGGAATTCTGAATTTCCTTTATTTGGACCCAGGAGGAGTACAGGGAGGGTGCTGTCTTCTGTGACTTCTGCCCTTGGATGGGGCAGAGCTGCTGGGTCTCAGGGCTGGAACACTTCGTTTCCTTGAGCCTGGCCACACCAGCCAGTTTTTTCTCTCTGTATCTACTACCCACAGGCCTAAACAGACCTCCCTCCCGCTTAAACCTTCCACAGCTCTCCGGTCTCCAGGACCGAGCCCTGACTTTACACAACCTCC